AGATACAATGAATATATGAAGTTCATATATTTTGAACTGCGGTATTAAATACGTATGATGCACGATCCTTCGCAGTAGATAGCGCTATTTATGCAATAGCGAAAATCAGACCTGAAAAAAATCAGGCCTGTACGGGATTCGAACCACTGACCTCTGCGATACTAGTGCAGCGCTCTACCAATTGAGCTAACAAGCCAACTGGGAGCAGGCCGTTAAGTTGATTCGTAATAAACCCGTGATGATAAATCAGATACAATGAATATATGAAGTTCATATATTTTGAACTGCGGTATTAAATACGTATGATGCACGATCCTTCGCAGTAGATAGCGCTATTTATGCAATAGCGAAAATCAGACCTGAAAAAAATCAGGCCTGTACGGGATTCGAACCACTGACCTCTGCGATACTAGTGCAGCGCTCTACCAATTGAGCTAACAAGCCAACTGGGAGCAGGCCGTTAAGTTGATTCGTAATAAACCCGTGATGATAAATCAGATACAATGAATATATGAAGTTCATATATTTTGAACTGCGGTATTAAATACGTATGATGCACGATCCTTCGCAGTAGATAGCGCTATTTATGCAATAGCGAAAATCAGACCTGAAAAAAATCAGGCCTGTACGGGATTCGAACCACTGACCTCTGCGATACTAGTGCAGCGCTCTACCAATTGAGCTAACAAGCCAACTGGGAGCAGGCCGTTAAGTTGATTCGTAATAAACCCGTGATGATAAATCAGATACAATGAATATATGAAGTTCATATATTTTGAACTGCGGTATTAACAAGCCAACTGGGAGCAGTTGGCTTGTTAGCTCAATTGGTAGAGTGCTGCACCAGCATCGCAGAGGTCAATGGTTCGAATCCCGTACAGGCCTGATTTTTTTCAGGTCTGATTTTCGCTATTGCATAAATAGCGCTATCTACTGCGAAGGATCGTGCATCATACGTATTTAATACCGCAGTTCAAAATATATGAACTTCATATATTCATTGTATCTGATTTATCATCACGGGTTTATTACGAATCAACTTAACGGCCTGCTCCCAGTTGGCTTGTTAGCTCAATTGGTAGAGCGCTGCACTAGTATCGCAGAGGTCAGTGGTTCGAATCCCGTACAGGCCTGATTTTTTTCAGGTCTGATTTTCGCTATTGCATAAATAGCGCTATCTACTGCGAAGGATCGTGCATCATACGTATTTAATACCGCAGTTCAAAATATATGAACTTCATATATTCATTGTATCTGATACTGGTCTCTATCACAACAAGGTCACCTTCGGCCTCACTCTAAATTAGGGACTGGGCAACTAAGTACACAACTGTAAAACGGCCTATTGTGAACTCTTCTCTGAATAAGGAACGGGCACTTTAGGCGAGAAGAGAGTGAGACGAGTCCCAGACGATACAAGGCGTGTCTCGAAGTGTAGCACGGTGCAACCCCTTCTCACCGTACTAAATTACACTTATTTACCTTGAAGAGCCCAATTCAATCAGTAAACCTTAAAATTACCTCTTCTCCCTACTGTCGTAAAGATCATCGCGCTTAAATCAATGGATGGGTAATAATGTGCGATCAATCTAAAGTTACAAAATAGTATGGAAAAGAATTTTAAAATTGCAAGTTTTCTGTTCCTGCCCAATAAAATGCGACACTCGAATCAACTTAAATTTCAGTAGGTCTGCTGAATTATTTTGCACATATTTATTTAAAAAGGTATTCGTCGAAGAAGTAATAGCGATCTTGTCATGGCACGAGAGACAACTGTGAAATGGTTGACGCACCAGGTGGTGGATGGGGCGCTTCACGCCGTTTACATCGAAAAGTGGAACGATCAGCTTTGAAAATAAAAATTTCACCAGTGGAATGGGAAAGGGCAAAGGTTTTTATTTCTTCAACTGCACTCTTAAGGAGTGGTGTCTTTTTCTGGCAATGTTATAAAAAGATTAAGATTCTTTAAGCCAATGTTGCCTTTCCCTGGCCTGGTGTATTGAGACCAAAGTCTCCTCCTCTGGATTTGACGAATGTCTCGTATCTAAAAAAAAAAACAAAACAAACAATAAAATAATTTCAAAATGAGTCCATCTTTCCGTTAGTATAAATACGACTATAGTCCAAAATGCTGGAAGACGATGAAATCTTTTGACCTTAAAATGATACACTAAGCCTTCATGATCTTTATTCCATTATCTAAATCTAGAGTCTAAAAATTTGACACTAGTGTCTAAAATCGGAAACCTGTGTCCAAAATCGGACACCTGTGTCCAAAATCGGACACTTGTGTCTATAAACGGACACTAGTGTCTAAAATCGGACATTAATGTCCTAAATCGTACACTAGTGGCTAAAACCAGGCATTAGTGTTCAAAATCGGACGGGAAGGTGTCAGATTTTAGACACTTATGTTGTAATTTTTATTCCTTATCACTGTTGCCATGTGGCTGTCAATTAACCATCAAAATGGACATACATAGCCTGGTATCTGCGTCTTTCACTATCTGACACAGATGGACCAACCGATGATGCTGCTTGTAACAAATCGGATTGGTTGATTTGTATTCCAAACGTTGCCTCATGCGTCGCTGAATCAGATTGTAATGGCTAACAACACACAAAAGATCAAATTTAGATAAACTAAATTAATTATTTTTTCAATCGTGCAATGAAAGTTGTTATGCCTAAACTGGACAACCCTAAACTTTGCAAATGCCTAAACTGGACAATCTTTAAACTGGACAATCCCTAAACTGGACAATCCCTATACTGGACAATCCCTAAACTGCACAATCCCTAAATTGGACCATCCCTAAACAGACCGGAATGAAAGATATTAGCATACAAGACAGTAAATGGTTTGAACCAGAGGGTATCATTTGATCGTGTAGTCGCACCGTCCGGGTGAAGGCAGTCCTCAGAAACACTGTCGCCAGTTGTGATGACTGACGTTTCGACAACCTGATCGAGTTTCATAAGTCCAGTTCGTGTAAACCGACAACATTCCCTCTCTGGAATATGCTTACACGGATCATCTGACTGCATAATCACAAAAGGAAGATAGCCGTAGAGAAGGAAAACAATTGCTTACAGAAGCAAACCGAATTATTGTTCACTCGTTACTAAAAAGAAAAAACATGTCCCTGAATACAGAGCTACGAACACGTAAATTCGAACTAAACGCACGTAGATGAGAAAAAAATTGAATATATAGTAATACTTGGTATTCAAAGTTCCAAGGGTCCATTTTGTGTTACGTTCTGTTGACAGAGTTTGTGTCTTATTTATTTCCTTAAAAAGGAAATATGTCAGGGCAGTTGTGGTGACAAAATCATTCCTGCTGAACGTACTGCCTCGCAATAGGAAAGACCGGCGGTCTTTTATATGCGTATAATCAATGAAATCCTCCAATCAATTAAAATCTTTACCTTTCTTTCGCTCTTTCTATGCTGTAAATTATCATGGAGAATTGTGATCTGATAAGAAAACAAAGTAAAAACATAACTTCGCACCAACTGTTTCACTTCATGAATTCAAAATGAGTACTGAGCGAAAACACGAGAGTAGGAGTTCGTACTTAGGGAGGGGAGAGTTCGTACACAAGGGTTCTTAACGCATTTAAAGGTAGGGCAAGTTGTTTAATTATCGCTGAATCGCATTTTCTTGACTACGGGGCGGGTCAAATATACCTCAGGACCCTCCTTGGCGGTGCCTTTCTGTGACATGAAGTCCAGGGGTATCAGGACCCTACCTCTGAACGAAGTTTCGTCAGCTCCTCCGTTGATAGCTGTGTTGATCCTTCAGTTAAGCTTGGAACATAAATAATATCATCCCTGTCGTCGTCTATAACGATATCTGTATCCGCGCCTATGTTATGTTTCTCAGTGCTTTCCATTTCAGTAGTTTTGAACGCTCCCTTGTAAAGCAGACTGTTATTGGTTTTCCTGTGGATTGCAGCCAGCTGGGCGTTATACAGAAGAGCTTTGAAATCAGCTCCAGTGAAGTGTTCACACAAGTCTGAAATAACGGCTAGATCAATATCCTCTGACAGGGTCACGGAACTGGATAAAGCTTCCAGGATCTGTAATCTCTCTGACTGAAAGAAAAAAAAAGCCCCAACTTTTTCTTAGTTCGTACAAGAAAGATCAAGTTGAAAGACAGGATATCCAAACTTGGCCTTACCACTGAGGTAATCTGTCTTACGCTTATTTAAGATCAATCAGTGCAGTTGAATATATGAAAATCATATATCTGTACTGCGGTTTCAAGAAATGTATGAAAGCGATCCTCGCTGTAATGAACCCTACTTTTGTTGTAGTGGAAAAAAGGGCTGAAAAAAATTCAGGCCCCTACGGGATTTGAACCCATGAACCCTTCGATACAGATGCAGCGCTCGACCAACTGAGCTAACAAGCCAACTGAGGGCTAATCATTAAGTTGGTTCGTATCAAACCCGTAGAAGTGATAATATTTAATATCAGGACCATAATCACGGCGTGAATTTGGCTTACGTGGATATCACATGCGTCATCTGTTCGTTTTCCATCAAAATAATTCAAGCCACGAGTAAAATTTCATCGCAGGACGCCAGATGCCATTTGTTTCAAGGAAACTACTGGGGCACGACTTAACTAAAGAAACTTTCAATTTAGTGTCGTATAACCAAAACCAAAGAAATCACAACAGCTAAACAGAACGGAGGAGATTATCACACGGAAACATCGAGGACTCAGAGTACAAACAAACGAATTGCCTGAAGCGTGGAAACTCCTCATTGCCTTCTTTTGACTCTTTGTTTCAATGGACTTGTGCTAAATTTTGTTTTGTTTTCACGACACACAAATGTACCAAAAAAAAAAAAACGCTCTTACCTTGGTTGGTATACCGCAATACAAACACTTATCCAATCGTCCTGGCCTAAGAAGAGCGGGATCAATCAAGTCTGGTCGACTGGTGGCAGCCAGGATATAAACACCGTCCAGTCCCTCCACTCCATCCAGCTGAGTAAGAAGCTGATTCACCACTCTGTCTGTTACACCAGTGCTGTCGTGTCCACGTCGAGGAGCAAGGGAGTCAAACTCGTCAAAGAAAAGAATACATGGCTTGGCACTTTGAGCTCTGCAAATAACAAATTGGGTGTGATCGTGGAAACTTTGTTATGTCTTGCTTCGCTTTTGTGAAATTCAACCGCTCTATTTGTCATGCGCTACAAAAGCTAGCGTAAGCCCTGAAGGCGTGGAACATGGGCTCCAGTGCAGCCTTCACCTTAACCTTAACGCTGAGTTGTCAGGTGGGGACGCGTGTCACAGTGCAACAGCAAAATTAGTGCGCATGCGCAGTGCGCTTGAGCAAAACATTTCCACAGAAAAACGACGAGGATAATGGCGTTAATTTAAAAATTCGACGTAGTATTTGTTACTTTGAGAAGCAAAGGCTACCTGCTAAGTTTTTTTCATATAAAGAGGTTTCTTCGAATCTATTCTATCACGTATCTTTTCGTGAACAAAGAATACATCAGTGTTGCTGACAACGAGTGGGACATTTTGGGATTCCAGTCTAGTGTAGGTGAGTGTACGTGGTATTGGTTCGACGTTAATTTCCTGTCTCATTGTGGGAGAGAGCCTGTTATTGCCTCCTCTAAGAGAAGTGGGAAAATACGACAACAAACAACCCTGAAAGCTTCGTATTTTGTGATAAGTTAAGAGACAGTACTATTTACCTTGTAAACATGTCTCTGACCGCTTGTTCACTGGCTCCAATATACTTGCTCAGTAGTTCAGGACCTTTGATACTGATGAAGTTGAGCCCACACTCTTTAGCAACCACACCAGCCAACAGTGTTTTGCCAGTGCCTGGTGGTCCATAGAGAAGAAGACCAGACCGCATGCGCAGGGGACATTTACTGAAAAGCCACGAGTACTACAATGGAAATGTAAATATGGTTGGCTTTCAGGTACCAAACAGATTCTCTTTGCTCGCATTTTTCCTAATTTTTGATAACGGGTTCATTTTACCGTTAGCTTTGAAAAGTTTATCGTACAAAAGAAAAATATTCTGTTTTTTTATGCCCACTCTTACGTCCAGATAACACCAAATAACGTTGACTGAAAACTGACAAAAGATAACCATCCACGCTGGAAAACGGGTAAAGCGTTTCCCTTCTACACTTCAACCATCGACAGAAAAGCTTAACGTTCTGCATCCTTGGCACGCGCAACAGGAAAAAAAAATAGCAGAAATGTGACATCCGCGTTGAAAAATCTCATTTTTCGGTAAACACTTTACTTAGATTAGTGTGGAGGGAAGGCCAAAACGAAGAAAGAAAGTTGAGGTTGCATATCTCTCATGGGCATTGTGGCTGATATGCATTTCTTAACCGTGAGATACCTAAGAGAACAGAGATGTACCTTTGTTGGCCACAGGAGGGTCTCAATGAGGGCTGCTTTTACAGCAGCTAGTCCTCCCACATCAGACCAGCCTAACTCTCCCGCAGTATGTAAACTAACTCCCCTAAGCGCTGTAGGGGTAAATCCGTTAAGAGCTTTCTCAAAATCATCGGTAGTAATTTCAGAGAAAATTCCTCCATCTGTTGAAAAAAAGAAAGAGACAAGAAAGTGAACGATAACGAAGCCGTCGTGATCACAGTTAACACCAACCAAGTACACAAGTACCTTTCTCTTTTAATTTCGTGTGAAAAAAACCGCTTCCTGGTTAGCTCAATTGGTTAGAGCACTGGACTGCTGTGCGGGAGGTCGAGGTCGATGGTTCGAACCCCGGCCGGACCAACACTCAAGGTCTTAAAATAACTGAGGAGAATGCACTACCTTTCTTTAATGTCAAGAAATGGATAGACATTCTAGTCTTCTCGGATAAGGACGAATAAACCGTAGGTGCCGTCTCCGGCATCTGTTAATTAGTTGATTTGGTTAGGCAGGGGACGTTAAAGAACCCCACTCACGAGATTACTGTGATGTGGTCTGGCCTGTTTACTGGGAATTGATGGGAGGGGGAGGGGGCATCTTCAAATAAGTTCCCTTCAATTGTTTGTAAACTGCTGATGCAGTCCGGCAAAAGTCCGCCGAAAAGTGTTGTGATGCGCATTTGATCATATCCACATGTTAATTTGCGCAATATAAAAGTTAAATTACAGTGACGGATCCAGGGGGAGGGTCCGGGGGAACCGGACCCCCCCCTCCCTATCAGACCTGACGCCTACAACTTTGAGACTGAAATTCTTACATCGACAGGATCGTATATCACTTTTTAACTGGTTGATTTTTTTAATGAATCCAAGTAAACGGTAAGCGGCCAAGGCATTATAACGTGCAACCGCGACTGGTGAGAGGGGGACGTGGGAGAGAAAGTAATCTGCCTCGAAAGAGTCAAACAGTCCTTTCTGAACCAAAGTTTGGACCCTCCCAATCAAACATTCCTGGATCCGCCCCTGGTATAAAATGTCAGGCATAACATGAAAACATTTGCAACAGTTTAAACAACGAATTCAATATCGTACATGAATAATAATAATAATAATAATAATAATAATAATAATAATAATAATAATTATTATTATTATTATTATTATTATTATTATTAAAAACAATCAGATGCCTTCTGTTCCTCACCTGCCGACATTTTCATCTTTCTGACCGCCGCTTGGTGTAAGGCTCGGTCGATTAATGATTGTAGATCTTTGGGTGAGAATCCTTCAGTTTTCTTCGCCAATAAACTAAAATCAGAGAAAAGAAATCATGTTCTAAGAAAGACAGGAATGATAGTACGGCAAATGGTAATATTTTTGTGCTTAATTAAGTAATTAAAGATGTAAACATTGATGTCATGAAAGTACTTTTTTATTAAAACAATGTAAGAGAAGTGATTACCTTTTAAGATCTAACAGAAAACCGGTGTTCAGAGACTTAATTTTGCGAAACGTTTCTACGTATTGCTCCGTTACTATAGTCTTGCTTTAAGCCGAATTAATGTGGAGAAAAACACTCTTCACAGATGTGGATTTGGAATAATGTGCACAGTTATACTGCAATGCACAGTCCAGACTGTAGACGTCGTTTCTATACCCAAGGTATGCCCACACATACAATTCGTACTTGCTAATAGGTATATTTCAAGTTTCTTCAAAAGGGTCCTCAAGAGTAGAAAGTTGACTTTTCCTCGACTAGCTTGGATTTTCTCCGCAGGAAACTATGTTTCTATCTTCACCTGAGTTCCGATATGTCACGATCTCGGTGACGAAACAGTCTGGCCATCATCGCAGACAGAATCTGTTGTCTTTGGTCAGCATCAGGGGGGTGGATCTCCGCACGGCATTGGAACACGTGACATCCTTGCGATGTCAGCAATGACGGGTGTAAAGAGTCATGTGACTTACTGGTTGCTATAACAACTATCCTGCTGTTGTTATTGATTTCTGTGTTGATAAGATCCTTAAATACTGCAGAATGGAAAGAAATAAAGAGACATTGTAAGATACTAAAAGCAGTATTAAACATAAATACATAATAGAGATGAAAATCTAAGAGTAATTTGAAGCAGGTTCCATCAGCCACGCCTTGTAAACTAGGCAGGAAGGCCCAGTTTCCTCACAACGACACCATCAAGGATAAGATTCAACAAAAAAAAAAACCTTTCTGCATCTGTTTTCAATTGAGAGTGGCAAGTTATCTTGGATTGCATTAATTTTGTTTTCCATTTTTGTGCTTTGTGACTGGGCTTAAAAACTAATCCAATCTCTCAATCAATCAGATGCAAAACCATAAAAAAATTACACCTGGATCAGCTGGATTTTCCTTCACTCCAAGCAGTTTGGTAGTCTTCATTTCAAGTTCTCCCTGGCTCTTTGTGGTCTTTGATTTTTGTTGCTTTACGCTTTGTTCATACCTTTGTTTGACACTCAATGTCATGCTACACTTATCACTATTAGGGTACATTATACATTTTTTTGGAAAAGCTGATGGCCTGTATAGAATATTGGTCTTTTACCCAAAATCATTCTTGACACCATCTCACCTTGAGTTAAGCGATGTTTGTACAAAGCTTCTCCACCCATCTCTTGGAGGGCACTTGGGGCAGACAGAACTTGATCTAAATCATCAAACAAGATAACAGATGGTTGATGCCATGCAGCCTCCATAAATATCTGCTGCCACTGTTTTTTAATGGTATCAACTCTTTTTCCTTTAAAGATGAAAAAACAAAAACCCATTAATTTATGATGTTTAATGCAACATACATACTGGAGAGTTTCAATAAAAGCTGGTCAACTGGCACAGCCTCCTATGCACCATTGGCAGCAACTTGTGGAAAAAGTCAATGAAACCCCTGACTTTATGTGCAAATGTACCCACAATGAAACAGTACTACACATTCATTATAATCATGGACAAAAATAAGCTAATTCTACAAAGTAACAAAATAGGCTATGAACAGTCAGGCCTGGGTGAGTCGTAAAAAAGCCATGAAAAAAAAATTGACCTAAGCGCACAGGAGGAAGCTCTAGTTTTGGTGTGTAAGTCAAAATTAGAGCTTCCAAATACGTGCTAATGTCATTTTTCTTCATGGATTTTTTTTTACTTGTGCAGCAGATTTCATCAAAAAGGAGGGACTGCTTGTAGTCTAGCAACAAAGTAAAGAAAAGAATTACCTCTAAAAGGAATACAATCCACTAACGTTACATGAGCACACACAGGCCACTCCTGAAGTTGGTGACATACTGCATGAGCAAAAGATGTCTTGCCACAGCCAATCCCTGCTCCTGTACCACTGCCGCAAACTAGTACAGCCCCACCACACAGCCCTGTGATAATGTTACCTCCCAGTTGATTGGATAGTGGTCGCTGTCGTAACACTGATAGAGCATGATCCACACACTTGCGGAAAACATCTGTTACACCCCTTAAACAGAAATCAATAGCTTATGTGAGCTTGAGTTCACCACTATCATAAGCTGTAGGACTAGCAAATTTTTTCTTTCTTTATGAGAAGGAAAGACAGTGCAACTAATAATATTTATGGAGTAACTTTTTTTGTTTGTCAACCTTCTAATCACAAGAAGCAGCCCTAAAACTCCAAGGGTTAACCCTATGACCTCTAAGAGTGACTAAAATCTAATTTCTCCTTACAATATCACCCCTGAATGACACATTAGGGCCATGAGAATAAAGAAAACAATCACTAACCTAAGTAACTCTTGATTATTAAACAAATTCTCCTTGTCAAGCAGTATGGAGAATATGCATACTGATCTTGTGGTTTAAAGGGTTGATCAACCCCCGAAGTTGTATGCCATGCTCTAACATTGTTTTCCACTCATGAACTTCATTCTAAACATTTTCTTACCCCAAATCATTAAAGCTATGCCTTGGAAAATGTGGCTTGATTTCTTGAGCACTTATAGATTCATAGAAACCCTTCAAAGAGTTTTGCAGTGTTCCTATGACAACTGTCACATTGTTCAGAGTCTCAGGGGTGAGGTGATAATAACATGGCTCATCTGTTGATGTTGATGTCTCCTGATGACTTAGCAATTTAACTACAAACTGACAAAGTTGGCCTTAAAATGAAAAACAGAAAAATATACATTGCTTAGAACTAAGATTTTGTTAATTTGCATGCAAAATTGAGTAGGAGTGCGATCTTTGCAGTAACGAACACTACTTAAGCAGTAGTGAAAATAAGGCCTGAAAAAAATTCTGGCCTGTATGGGATTCAAACCCTAGGTAGAGCATATGGATACTGTAAGAAAAAGAAGTTCCCTTTGGTCAATTTGTTGGTAGACAGTATAAATGTTAATACCTCATTTTAAAACTTGCTTATTTGGTTTTACCACCAGAGTTGATATTAAGTAAATGTAAATTGGCTACTGCAAAAGGTTTCTGAAGCTGGTGTATCTAGCATAAGCCCTTCATCAGAGCAAATGGCAAAGAGCTAACACTCCAAATTACAACTTACGAAACCCTTAAGTACATTCAACTCACTTGATAAAACCAAACGAACTTGAGATACCCCTGCCAACACAGTACCACAGTTTCTTCATAGAAACTTATCCCATACTAACCTTGAACATCAAATGACATTAGTGTTCCACTGCAGAGTACAAGAGGTACTTCCACATTGCACACAGAGCTGATCCAGCCTTCAAAGGCATCCACAACAGCATCAGATGAAATATCCTGAAGCTTGATGAAAAAAACAAACAAACAAACAAACAAACATCAACATACATGACTGATATTCATTTTTTCCAGTGGGACATGGTAAAGAATCCTGCAATCTAAGTGCTTCTTTGTGCATGGTCATGGTTAACATTTTTTGGGATTTTTTTGTTTTCATTTTTGCTGTCCTCTGGAAAACAAAACTTCTGAAATATCATTTACAATAAGTATTTTTTCCCTTAGAGCATGCTAAGGAATCCTGTAATCTGATTGGTTCTTGGTGCAGTCTATCCACCTCTGTACATTGGTCATGGCAGCAGTTTTTGTGCCCCTCAGCCTTCAGTGCCTTTCCTTTGACATATTTTCTACAATAAAATTACCTTCTGTTCAGTTTCTGCTAAGGGATGCAAAACAACTCCTTGGAAGTCTGATGGCCCAGATGAGATATTCTGAATTTTAACTAAACACAGATCCCTTGCTCCAAGCATTTTGTAGAGTTCTTTGGTCAGAGTCACATGTCCTGGAAGTACATGCTCTGCCACGCCTAAATCATGGGAAATTTGATTGACAGAAGCCTTGTTTATGCTGCTCGTCATCACAATTCTTACAACCCAGCGAGGTGGTAGCATGTCAGGATAATTGGAAGGGGATTGGCCAGTCACTGTTAAAAAAAAACCACAAAATTTAGAAATTTCAGTCCTTTAGGTTCCATTATCCAGACTTGAAGAAAAAAAATTGAGCAGCATCTCCATGATTAGTTAATGTTGTAAAAATAAGTTGTTCTTAAAAAGGTCAAAAGAGCCACCCATAACGAAGTTTTGTGGAACACCAGCTGCAACTCAACTCTAAGTGACTGAAATTACTAGCAGCTAAATCAATGCCAATGGAAAACCACCAACTCCATGATTTGCTGTCGCCAAAATGGGCAAGAACACTCAGAAAATGGGGACACGACTTCCATTTACCCCAGATAAAGACTGAAAGATTTCAAAACATTTTTATGAACAGATGTATTTTAAATCTATATAATCGCATTTTTATACTCGATTGTACAGATACTCTTCATTTATTGTTCATTGATTGTTAAAAGAACCATGTCTGATGAGTCTACTTATTTGTAATGATAATAAAGATTACAATAATTCATTCATAATGCTCACCCTGGTTGGATTCACTGTCTCTTGAAGACTCTAGTGACTGAGATCCTTGGTTTTCATTGTTGTTTGATGAGGATTTATTATTTTGTAAGGCAGCTCTCTCTTTCGGAGATAAAAGTCTATGTATTTGAACAGTTTTTACAACTGTGCCATCTGGTGGTGGAAATGTGTCCCAGTTACAAGTCCACGACTTTAAAACCAGTGGCGGCAAAGATGTAAAGTCAACAAACACAGTCGTGGGTTGCAGGGAATAATAATTCGCAGATGCTACAATGCTGTCTTTATTTGAGGCATCAGGGTTCCCTCTTATCTTTGGTTGCACTCTCAAATACATCTCAAAGTCAGAATCATTTACACAGCCAGTAAAACATTTTCCACCTTTATTAGTGAAAGAAAACAAGGGTTTCCAGTTCTCTTCATTTTTAATTTCTTCTGAGGTCAAGGGTTTGCAGGTCTGTTTTCCATTTACAGAGCTCTCCACATAATGAGGGTTGAATAAAGACTGCAAATAACCTGAGACTCTTGATAATAAGCCACCATTGACAATGCCATTTTGTTCTTCTGAATTTGTGGTTTTAGAAGGTGAGGGCCTTGATGAAAGCTGATCACCATTGTTAAAATGAAAAGCACTACTTGTCAAAGTATGCTTATTTTCAGCACTTGCACCTACATGAATTTCATTCTCTTGTTCTGTATTATCATTGCCAGAATGAACTGAAACATGCTGAGGTTTTTTTCCTTTAGAAAATGTTCTTGTTTTTGGCGTTACAATCACTTCAGTAAACTCATCAAGTCTGACACAATTGGCATTGGGCTCAAGATCAACTGTAAATGAGAAATAAACAAGACTAATGACACTGGCCTCACTGGTATAGTAATTAGAGTAATAATTAGAAATAATAACATTATAATGAGACTAGTTCATTTCAAACAATAACTTGAAGATGGCAACAGTCAAACCCCACCAGAATAAAGGAAAATATCACATAGAGCAGTTCTCAACTCAGAATTAAAACACACAAACTGCTCGAATTGTGCATTATGTAAGTAAATAAGTCATCATTTGTGATAGGTTTGTATCTGATTGGCTGACCATACTGTAAGTATTTAGGATTAATTACAGAGCAAAGTAAAGCAAAACTAAGGGGAATCCTTGACTGCTTCATAATCTCAACAGAAATTTCCCTTTATTTTGTTGTAAGAGTTTTACCAACTTCCAACCATTTATAACTATCATAAAGTAAAAGTTTAGTCCTTCCCTTCATTTTGTTGTAAGAGTTTTATCACCTTCCAACCATTTTTGATTATAATTTAAAAGTAAAAGTTTAGTAATAACCAACTACAGATAGGCACCCAAAGAAAGAGGTGATAGGAAAAGGCCACCAAACCCTAATGTAAGGAGTGTCCATGCTCACTAAAGCATACCAATTTGGACAACCACACACATATTGTTTTCAATCCAAATTGGCAATAACTGTCCTGGGAACACCACTCTCACTTGGTTTAGAAGCTGACTTTCTATATAACCAGCATGGAGTTCCTAACAAAGAGATTAAAAGCAACAATCCTTTAGACATCTGGCTCCAGTTGTTCAAAGGGAGGATAACGCTATCCAATGGATAAATAGCTATCTAGTGGATAAGTGTTACCAAAACGTACTGCGCTATCCAGCAGATAGAGATTTATCCAGTGTATAGCGTTATCCATCCTTAGAACAACCGGGGCCAGACCAAGTCTAAGAAATATGTTTTTCACATTTTTCTCTCTAAACAGATTACTTCATGTAGGCTACAGGGATTGATCTCTACCTTAGCTCATTGGCATGTATAATGCATCTATCAATTTGAAGCTTTAACCAACCACCCCCACCAACCCCTGACATTTGAACTTTTAAAGATTGGTCTGTTCAAATTCCTGCTCCCCAGGGCATAAACTGTGTTCAAATGGAAGTATTCTATCACAGTTTTTTATTGTCAAATGAATTTCAAAAGAGTTCCTATCAAGTTATAGATAAAAATTCAAGATTTTTAATCAGCGGCTGCAGTTAGTGAAAATGGTAACCTGGTGCTTGGAGTGCAGACTGTACATTCTAGGCACAAGTGAGTCATGACATCCTAAGGCCAGCATGAAATTAATAGTCATGTGCAGCACTCAGATCTTAGGAGAGGAACAAGCTAACAACCCTTGGCCATTGTAACTTTTTCACTTACTAAAATTTCCCAATCATTGGCACTAACTGGATCCACGCTTATTCTGTTACATGATGCAATGCCTACCACAGGTTCAACTAAAACCTAAAACATACATTCAATAGAAAATATTACCAATCAAGTTTAAAAGCCTCATGGTACTCAAGAGACTTGGACCAAACCAAGGTGTTCAAATAATGATTAAGTCAACTAAATAGCAAATACTGGCTGCTGACAGTTTTACTATAACTTTAATTTTCCCTTCAGTTTTGTCATTAACTCGAAAATACCTCACAAAACTTTGGTCATATGTTCACCTTTAAAAACATCTTTGTCCGTCTAGGAAAACATGAACTGTAATCTTAAACTCTTCAACCCTAAGACTGACTAGCATATAATTTCTCCATACAACACCACCCCTGAGTCAAGCATTAAGGCTACAAGAATAAGTGACCAAAACAGAATTTCTCCTTACAATATCAATACAATATCAAGCAGACAAGTGATGAGAATACAGGCAAATATCAATAAGCAGGTTATTAGTTGATCCAATACCAAATTCTCCACACTAACATCATAAGAGTTGTAAATAATTAACAATTATTCCAGGAGTGCGTGTTGGATAAGAGATGATAGATAGCCAACGAGGTGCGTAGTACTGAGTTGGCTATAATCATCTCATATTCAACAAGCCCGAGTGGAATAATTGTTTCATTAAAAAAAACGCCCCCAAGATGTTAGACAAATCTTCTCGACTTTATTTTGTAAGAAGAAACCAGATGTTACATGTACAGATATTAGATTATGGTATATTGACTTATAGACCATAATGGCGTAGCAAATAAAATGTCTTGAATTGCATTATCCAATGATCCAGTTTTTAATAATAGACAATAAGGAGAATTAGTAATAAGATCTTGGAAGTGAAAGGGTTAAACAAGTTCTCCTTGTCAGCTCCTTAGGAGATGTATAGGGGACAGTTTGGAGAATATGTATACTGATGTTAGGATGTAAACGGTTTAATTTAAAAATGGCCTTCACCACCTTCCAAACAACTTGCTCCAGCCTGTAGATTCCAGAGGTAAGTGTTGACATGTCCAAAATAAAAAAAGAGCCTTGTATTTGAGTGGTAAGAATACATCTAGAACAACGTAATAATAGGGAAAGCTAAAATAATTATCAAGTTGACCAAAGTGCTTAATTGTTTTATACCTGCTGCTCGTCATCTAGTCCTAGTGCATCGGCAAATTTTTTTCCCAATTGGACAATAGATGATGAATCATTCAGGATATCACCTCTCCTACTGTGTATCACTTCACCAGACCAGCTGGTGAAAGCCTTACCATTTTCCCACTCAAGTTGGAGAGCAAATGGTTGACCCTAACATGGTTTTCAAGAAGTTAGATGTGTTAATCCTTGCAGGGTATAGATAAATAGGATTTTAAATAAGTTTCAGCTCAGTTACTTTGAGCTATCCATTGTCCCGGACGAAAAAGCATAATCATTAAACAAAGAAGGTAAAATTTAAACTGGGTTAAAAAAAAATACAGGTTTTCCTACGAAATCTTGTGTCTAGCTTTTCTAAACTTTCTCAAATTAAGATTTTTGTTTTCAAGGATTATGAGTAACATATCAGATGGCATGAGTAGAACACATCTGTTGTGTGTCTACCACACCCCTGATAAGACAGCTGATGAGTGCTCCCTCTAAATCGCCAAAAGCCGGCATGATCGTATAATAACATTGTACCTGTTCTATGCATCAGTATGCACGCAAGTATCCGTTCGTAACGTACCTGAATTCGCAAGCCTACTGCCTCTGCAAGATCACCAGAAAGACTGACAAAACAGTTTTTCGACGAATTTGTTCTAACAGAAGCGGATCTAATTCGATTCATTTTCATTCAAACCTCCGGATTTCCTCCCCTAGAAGTAGTAAATTCTCAAAGAAAACGGCTGATTGAAAGTTAGCCGCCATTTTCAGCAAAATGAATACTGCAGGCTCACCCGAAGTCCTTCGAGAAAGGGAGAGAATGGAACGGGTGAGGGAAAAAGGAATGGGCCGAGGTCAACTCCCTAAGGGCAGGGAGGTATCTTCGGAATAAAAATAGGAGCAAGGAAGTAGATACGAATCTAGAAGACCTTCAAAGTTGGTCCCTACGAGCTGTTAGTGAGTTTACAATTTCACAGACTGTGAGAAGGGATATGACCCAGCTACTTGGTAATTTTAAATTTGAGGATACCGGTATACAGAGAAACCCCTGGAGCTTGCCTGAAGGCTCATTTCCCATGATCTACCATCCTAGGGTAAATTGGGTCATCAACAAGCAACAAAATCATAAAATTTCATGCATCTCCAAGTTTTCCAAGGTCAATTCAATCCTGTCAAAGATATCAAAGAAAATGGGAGTATTTAGCCAGAGAGGAGCCAGTGTAAAGAGGTCAGTCTGTATTCTTTTTTTTTTTTCAACTACAGATTGATACCATAGTAGTTAACTCCTTCCTTGGTGTGTCATTACCAGTGAAATACTCAGAGTGATGTATTTTTACAGGTTTATTTTAGGTTTTTCAGGTCAAATCCAGTAAATCCAGTTTGTGCAGGTTCACCCTAGGACTCCTCTTCCTCTTCTTCGTCAAACTCTCCTTCTTCTTCAGCTGTGGCATCCTGATATTGCTGGTACTCAGACACTAGATCATTCATGTTTGATTCCGCCTCTAAAAATGAACACCCAACAAATAAGTACTTTAAGTAAATTACAAGCTGCCATGCCATATAGTTAAAGAATTACATAAAACTAAAAAAATTGTACTCTCTACTGTGGGCAAAAGTCTGGAACAAAACAGTGGGGGATCATTTACTTTTTGAGATTCAAAATTTGTGATCTGTTACTTCTAAGGATGTTTTACTCTGCCAGAAAGAAAATATCATATGTTCAAGACATTAGTACCTCTTTGAGGTCAAAATTTTTTAAAACCCATTTACATTTTAATAATTTAAAGAATGTGGACAATCCCTATTTTATTTATTTTAAAGGAGCTCCCCCTTAACAAACCTCGGTAAACTCCATCTCATCCATACCCTCTCCAGTATACCAATGCAAGAAGGCCTTACGCCTGAACATAGCTGTGAACTGTTCACTAATACGCTTGAACAGTTCCTGGATGGCAGTGCTGTTTCCAACAAAGGTAGCAGACATCTTCAATCCTCGAGGTGGAATATCACACACAGCAGTCTTGACATTGTTGGGAATCCATTCCACAAAGTAAGAGCTGTTCTTGTTCTGCACATTCAACATCTGCTCATCAACCTCCTTCATGGACATGCGGCCACGGAACATTGCAGCCACAGTTAGGTATCTGCCATGACGTGGATCACAGGCTGCCATCATATTCTTGGCATCAAACATCTGCTGTGTTAGCTCTGGAACTGTCAATGCTCGGTATTGCTGGGAGCCTCGGCTGGTCAGAGGAGCAAAACCTGGCATGAAGAAGTGAAGACGGGGGAAGGGAACCATGTTGACAGCTAGTTTTCGCAAATCAGCATTCAGCTGGAATAAAAATTATATCAGTGGTCAAGCAAACAGATGGAAAGTGATCCTCTACCTGTCCTGTGTCAGAGTGCAAACACCTGATATTTATCTCTGTAAATCTTTATCTTCATTTTACAAGGAATAACCATTAATATAACTCAGTTTTGCTTCAATAAAAAGACTTAGCTCAATGTTTGTCTCATGAATCAAATTTATCTCAAAAATAAAAAAATAAGCAGTGCAATGTAGGAGAGATTTCACACAAGATCAGTCTCACAAAAATGGGAAAGGCCTGATTCACTTTTCCCATCGAAGCTGTCTGGAGAACTATAATTAAACTCACGTTACGTCATTGGAAATTATTGTTTGCGGGCGTGACCGTTGCAAATTTATTTTTGTCTGAAATCAAAATTAACGGGTAGCTGCTTTCTGCGATCAGAGGATAATAATTTTGTAGTTTTTAATAATACTAGTTTAAACCAAAAAGAAAAAATTTACCTGGCCGGGAAATCGAAGACATGTGGTTACACCGCTCATTGTGGCTGAGACAAGGTGGTTTAGGTCGCCATATGTCGGGGTGGTTAATTTCAGTGTTCTGAAGCAGATGTCATAGAGGGCTTCGTTGTCAATGCAATAAGTCTCATCGGTGTTCTCAACAAGCTGATGAACCGAGAGAGTTGCGTTGTAAGGTTCCACGACGGTATCTGACACTTTAGGGGAAGGCACGACACTAAACGTGTTCATAATACGATCGGGATATTCCTCTCGGATCTTTGAAATGAGCAGTGTGCCCATCCCTGAACCTGTACCACCGCCAAGGGAGTGAGTGAGTTGAAATCCTTGTAAACAATCGCAGCTTTCTGCCTCCTTCCGGACAACATCTAGAACGGAATCTACCAATTCGGCACCTTCTGTGTAATGTCCTTTCGCCCAGTTGTTTCCAGCCCCGCTTTGTCCTGCAATAAATCACAATAAATGACATTAAGAGCGACTCATCGAAACCGGGCAAATGTTCTCTTTTACGCTTATTAAATTGTGGATTAAAAATCGATTAGTTTACGTTTAAATCTATCGGACCTACCAAAAACAAAGTTATCAGGTCTAAAAATTTGTCCGAATGGTCCGGAGCGCACTGAATCCATCGTTCCGGGTTCCAAATCGACCAGCACTGCTCGAGGTACATATTTCCCTCCTGAAAACGAAAACCGACGAAGCGTCAAAAGACAACGCTACACTTCCGCAACGACACTTGCAAAATACCACACAAACGTCAAATGAATTTCTTCAGTTTGTTACCTGTTGCCTCGTTGTAGTAAACGTTAATTCTTTCCAACTGGAGATCTGAATCACCATGATATGTACCAGTAGGGTCGATTCCGTGTTCATCTGAAATTACTTCCCAAAACTGAAAACGAAACACAGTACCATCGTGAAATCAACAGCTTGGACAGCTGCGCGATCGATTCTCGCGCGAACAAAACTGCCTCATAGAAATGTTGTAGAAACAGCCTACCTTGGCTCCGATTTGGTTCCCGCACTGACCCGCCTGTAGATGAACGATTTCACGCATTTTGAAAGCTTTCACTGGTTAAACTCCCACGGAGAAATTAGCCACAACCCGGCTCGTGAAAAAATTACTCAAAACTGAACACTTTCGTTAACAACTGTTAACGTCACACACACGCACATGTGACAAATTGCTGTATCTGATTGGTCGATTGAAATTCGTAAATTAACAGGTTATTGTGAGCAATAAGCAGCCACTTAGCAGGCACTTTGCATTCAATCAGATAATATAAGTAACACCGTGTTGAAAGGAACTCCTCAAATCACGAAATTTTCATTGGTCCCCAGCACCCACTGTTTCTTGTAGTTCAATTCATCCTGACACTTTTTCTCCAACGGATGACATAATGATTACTTGTTTCTGTCTGGCAAGTGGCAACCAAAACACGCATCGAGATTAGTTAATACCCGTTACAGAATTGTCACGCATCTAAACCACACATATATTAACATCGTTTACCAAAATTATAACGCGCAAACTCTATGAACTCAATTTGAAGCGTGTTAATTTTCTATTTAAATCAAAATTACTGTACCACGCCGCGCAATTGGATAAGGGCAACATTTGCACATTTTTAATTCATTTCTCGTTAATCATGTCATACATTTGCTACCCTACTCCAGGCAATCAATTTGCGGTCGACGAGCAAAGAAGCGGGGCGAGCGAGAGAGAATGCGCAGGATGGTACTAAGGAGAGGAGGGTGGGAAGGACTCGCCTCGCCCCCCTCCGTTACTGATTCCCAGATCCCCGCCAATTTTCGCCTGATGACCGGAGGTAAGTTGTGGTTTTCCTGCAAGCTTTTTGTGGTAAACAGACATGCGGAAATAAAAGGAGGATACCTTTCGCCCAACTACAAGTGTGTCATTTGGGAAAGTGAAAAAGCTTAAAAGTAATTTCATCGCATTCGCGAAATTCGGTTTGAAATTATGACGCACATGATGCTTTCCTTTCAAAACTATGTTTGGAAAAGGTGTAAAATCCTGGGATTGTGGACGAAAATGCAAAAGCTGCAGTCTGGAACGATTCACATAGGACAAGTTTTCACCTTTCCAGTAAGATGTGTTCGCTGTATTCATTAGAAAGAATTCCATATCAAAGGAAACTTTCTGGAGTAGAAGTCCCCTTTAGCCGTTTGAGTGTCGTCAGTACTTCCTTAGAGGAAAGACACTAACACTTAAAAGGAAGGCAAAAATTTAACATATTTATTTTAGAGTTTGTTTTAGCCCTCGTGGCCTCATCACCAAGGTGCAACTTTGTCACAAAATTAGAACAAGTGTCCTAAAGTCAAGGGTTAATTAGGAAATGAGACAAGTATGCTGCAGAAATAAACACATATCGAGAGGCATGAGAAAATTGCGAAGGTAATATTAAGAAGTACGTATGTACACAATGTGAACAGGGAAGGAGTTTCCGTCATTACTCGTTTCCTACAACACGATTGGTCACATTTGCTAGAATGGCACTGTTAACAGTGGTGGCACGTTAAACATGCACGCCTTCTAAATCTTTTGTTCTGAAAGTTTCCGTGAATGACGCTCAGCTGAAAAACATTTAGCGCTTTGATGTACTTCAACAAATGTGTGCCAGCATAATCCTGTTCCGCCGGATGATTCAGCAATGGAGAAATGTCCAGGCGATTGAATGCATGTTGGATATCAAGTTTACTTGACGCTGGTCTAACGTAGGTTCTGGCTACCTACAGGAAGCTAGTTAAGGCTGGGAATGGATTCTGTTTGCTGACCACCAGTTTCTGGTGTTGGTGAGATATGTAGCCTTTAATATAACCCTGCAGAACAAATACGCGAACAAACCACATTAGCATGAGTAAACAGCTGGGGCGTAGAGGGAGCACGAACGCAGTGTACACGTTTGAATGGGAAGGGACTGTCACGGCCACCCTCTTATCTCGCCTTTGTGTTCCAATCCGCTATTTTCGCCAAAAAGCTCAATCGATACTGCGTAGACAAAAACAGTTTACTAGCAGTGAAACTGTGGTAATACGAAGAAACAAATGACCAAATCCCTTCATCGCCTACTCGGCAAAACAACATTAGACATTACTAAAGGGTAAAAGGTAACATCTACATAAAAGACCAGCCCATGGTTATATAAAGGGCGGATAAGGCCATCCACCGGATAAACTGCTATCCGATAGCGTTACCCAGCCTTTCAACAACCGAGGCCAACAGTTTCTATGTTTCTCCACGAGCTTTTCCCTGTTTCTGTAGCATGAAGTAGCTGGACGTACGAGTACATCGTATTGCTACCCAACATTGAGTCAGGTCTCCTAGAAAGTTTTCCTTTTCTGTGACAGACAAAGGGTCTCGCCAAAGATAACAACACAATAACCTTGGGTGAAGTTCGACCCAACTCCTTTGATCCCAAGACTATCGCGCTGGACTCCTCGCCATCGCAGTTCCCTTCGATACATCACTGGCATTTCATGCTGGCCTTCACTTACTAATTTGCTTATTAGGAAAATGGAGTGAGGAGCCATGCATAAATAAAAAATAAAGTAAACACCAGCAGTGTTGTAGTTTTATTTCACGAACACAGCCCGTTTTTCATCATTCAACTGACTTACCATGTATATCAGGTTTGCTACGATGCACTCAACCTCAGTAACGTCGATGTCTTCAACCTTAAAGCAGAAAGAAAGTAACTTAGAATCGAGTGAAAAGGGAGAAAGACAGGGAGGCCACAGGAGTACACAGACACTGAGGCTGGCGCTTATCATTATATGTAACCTGCTATCGCGTGTTCTTTTATTTATCTTTTTTCGAGGGAGTTAGGATGTGTAGCAGCGCCGACCGCCGACTCAGGCAACTGCTACAATTTCAGATTCTCCCCCAAAAAGGAACGTTTCATGTCAGGTCCTCATTTGTCTTCAGCAGCACTATGGTTACGGAGCGTTGACATGAGCTTGAATACGTCACGGTGCACGCGCCTTGAACATTCCATCTTTATTTAAAGTCGTTTTTTTTTTTCTTGTAATCCGAGACAATCTTGCATATCCTTAGACACAGTCTTTCGTTTCTAGTTCAATATTTCTATTTTGGTGATTTGCTATCTTTTCGAGCTAATATTTTTTGATTCCCTTCTCTGTGAAGATACTTTAAGTAAAAAAACAAAACAAAAATACAATAAAAACAAAGAAAAAAGCACCGTGACGTGGAACCTAAGATATCACGAGTCACGCGATTGAAGAAACTTGAACACGGGCGCGTGGTGCATTTACAATAAGAATGGGTTCGACAGGATCCCGCAGAAGTACCACTGTGGCGGCAACAGACTCCCAGCAGCAGCAACAGTCGCAGGTAGAAGAGTTGGAGGAGGATGGAAGCCCCCGAATTGTCTTTATCACAGGTTGCTCAACAGGCATCGGCCTGGCAACAGCAGTTGTTCTTGCAAGCGACGCAGACAAGGGATTTAAGGTTTACGCCACGATGAGAAATCTCGGAAAGAAAGCAGCTTTGGAAGAAGCCGCCAAGGAAACTCTTGGTCAATCACTGTTCATAAAAGAGTTGGACGTGTGCAGTGAAGAAGCCGTAAACAGTTTGGTAAAAGAGATTGAGAGCACGGAGGGAAGAATTGATGTGCTCGGTGAGTTTTAATCATTTAAAGTAGTTCGTGTTTGTACTATACCCAAAAAGAAACAAGCATATGGAAAGTGTTGAATCTTTTTTGAAATTAACACTTCATTTTTGTCCTCAACATTTCTTCATGTTGATAATCCCCGGTTGGAATCCCTTCATTGAAAATTGGATACGCTCCGTTTGGTTATATCGTATTTCAAATGACCTAACTGAAAGTTTTGCGGTCCAGACAGCTTATTCGAGAATCGAGTCAGTTTGGCTATGAAACGAGCAATGAAAACAAGCCGTGAAACAAATTGTCATTTTCATAAGAGGCAAAGTAGAAAATTAATAATAAAAAGTTTCCACTACTCCATGTGGCTTTGTTTTGAATGGGAACAGAGGAATGCATATTGCACGGATATTTAGTTCTGATTATATCGTATTTTAAATGACCCTTGGTGCATTTGGCGACTAACAGGTGCTTGCACTTCGTAGTTTTCAAAGACTTGCAATTAAATATTGTGCTTAAATTTCGTGTTGCTTAAAAACTTTCAACGCCATAAGTGGAAGAAGTCACTGGAAGCGATACCAAAATCGAGCCAATTGACACAAGGTGTAAATTACCATGGTCACTAAACCTTTGTTTTGGCGAAAAAGAAGCGAGACAAAAGATTTCGTGACAGTCCTCTTTAAACAATAAAATTATTAGAACCTGGCTCTTGAATACTTGGTGAATTTAACCATTGTGTTAACGACAAATGTCAAACGAAGAAAAAGGAAACTTAATTTATCCACCTTTCCAAATCAAATCTGCCTAGGAAGAAGCTCTAAATATTTCTCTGTTCTGCGCTTTGACGCAAATATTTTCACTCATGTAAACAAACGGCTGATAACACACGGTGGGACGTCCAATCATAACGTTTATCTCTTGTTTGCTTACTTTTAAGGTTAGGAAAGCAAAAATGGAAAAGGAAACGATAAATAACTACTGTATGGTGATTCTAAATTTATCCATCTTACTTTAAATAAAACTAGTACATTAAGCTTGACCCTTAACCCGTTCAGAGTCTTCTTTGCCTACGATCAAGCGCCTTTTTTTTTCGATGGGAGCATGAAACAAGGGAGCTCATGCCCTGCCATAAGGCGTTTTTTTTTTTTTTGCCAGCAAGTACAGAAGTGTAGCAGAGCAAATTTTAGCCCTCCCACCGAAAAAAAAAAAGGAACGACTGATCGTGCGATAGCGTGTTCTCTGTTTTCTCGTAACAAGCTTTCGTGTTTATCTTTTTAATCTGTGTTGGAATTTGCCCATATTACTCAGTGAACAACGCAGGACAAGGCCTGGTGAGTGTGTTTGAATGCATACCAATTGACAAAGCGCAAAACCTGTTCGATACGAACTTCTTTGGGGTCATGCGAGTACTCAAGGCTGTTTTACCAGGCATGAAAGCAAGAAAGAAGGGCCGCATCATAAATGTGAGCAGCATCATCGGAGTGAATGGTCACCCATTCAGTGAAATATACAGCGCTTCTAAATTCGCCCTGGAAGGTCTGACAGAGAGCCTGGCTCCAACACTGAGGAAATTCAATATCAGGTGAAAACAACAGTCGAGTGGCAACAACTTAAGGTTAAATGTTGGGTTAGGGGAGGGATGGGTGCACAGTTGCTCAGATACTAACGGGCAACAAGTTAAGGTTAAATGTTGGGTTAGGGGAGGGGTGGGTGCACAGTTGCTCAGATACTAACTGGCAACAAGTTAAGGTTAAATGTTGGGTTAGGGGAGGGGTGGGCGCACAGTGGCTCAGATACTAACGGGCAACAAGTTAAGGTTAAATGTTGGGTTAGGGGAGGGGTGGGTGCACAGTTGCTCAGATACTAACGGGCAACAAGTTAAGGTTAAATGTTGGGTTAGGGGAGGGGTGGGTGCACAGTTGCTCAGATACTAACGGGCAACAAGTTAAGGTTAAATGTTGGGTTAGGGGAGGGGTGGGTGCACAGTTGCTCAGATACTAACATTGATCCCTTCCACCAATACATTGTCATGACCCATTACGTTCAAGATTTTTTTAATGGCCATGATCATGATTTTAATCGTATTTCAGGTGTTCCCTTGTTGAACCCGGACCAGTGACAACCTCATTCAACAACAATGCCAAGTCGCTGAGAGAGGGAATCGACTCGTCAACCGCAGACGACAAAACCCAGGCTTTGTTACAGGAGGCTTTGAAAGAGATGTACCGTACTGTCACATCGCACAGTCAGACAGCTGAGGAGGTGGCTCACATCATAAAAAATGTCATACTCAGTTGCAAGCCTCATTTGCGATACCAAACAAACTCTGAGTATGGGCCAGGAGAGGTGCAAGCCAAGTTTTCTGATGCCACAGGAGACAAAGCTATCGATCTCATGGAAAAAAGATTCTACCCGGAAACAAAGTAGTAAAGTTTTGAGACCGAGGAGTTCGAAACCGAACCGCTGCATTTTGCAGTCCAAGGATTTGAAAGATACTTGTCATCTTTTTTAAATTTCATTTATAACTAACATGGCAGTATTTCTTTTAAAAGAAAAAACCAATCATGTCAAAATTCAATCTAAACAGAGGTGGTGGGAGACATTTTCCGTCAAACCAGCCAAGAAAAATGTCAACATTTTAGATAAGGCCTTAAAATACCTGAATCGAAACAACCATTGAGTGGCATTTTTATAGTATCATTCGGTCAGCCATCTTTCAATTATTCCTTACCTGCATTGCTCTGAGGGCCACAACGAACGCGTCCAAAGATAACTGATGAGTTTTCAGAAGAAGAGCCCTGTGAAAACGTACAAACATAATCACCTCAGTCGGATCACGGGATCTATATCGTAATTCTCTAATCTGACAGCCATATATTTCCTCGTACATAATTTCTGAGAATTTGTGTCATTAAATCAGCGTAAAACTCCTCAGCTGGTCCATTCAAGTCACCTGTTTACCACTGAACGTACTTCTAGTAGTTTAGTTTATTAGCTTCGCCGACAGGCAGGGACACCGCAACAGCTTGCGCCAATTACTGCGGGCCCAGTAAACCCACCCATCCCAGCCCAGGGGAGGACATCCACCGCACAGTAATCTCGTGCGTGGGAATTTAACGTCTCTTACCCCTAACCCTGCGAGAGACGGG